GCACCACCAACTTTACCGAATTTGCCAGCTTTACCGAATTTAGCACCTTTGGCAAAAGCAGCACCAGCGGCACCAGCTTTACCTCCTTTTTTCACACCAGCCGCTCCACCTGCAGCACCAGCAGCGAATGCTCCTTTTTTGCCACCTTTAGCACCGGCAGCAACACCACCTTTAGCACCTGCTTTGACTCCAGCAGCACCAGCTTTGGCACCTTTAGCTCCAGCTCCTGCTACACCACCTGCAACGGCGCCAGCACCTGCAGATTCCGCAACAGCTAGATCCATTTCAGATTCTTGTAATTGCTGAGCCATAACAGCACAGGCGATCAGGGTAATACTTAGAACGATCTAGAAAAGAAAAACACAAACAAGAATAACAAAAATACAATCAAAAAAACGATAAACAAAACTGTACCAAATGGAATTTCATTTTTTTCAAATAATAATAAATTTCGTTGTTTTTTCTTATAATGAAAACACAATATTAAAATATTAAAATGATAAAAATGGATTGTGTAAATAATTTTTTTGTTTTTTGCTTTTATACTATGATTGGGAAGTGTCAAGCAAGGATGTCTGTTATTTGTTGATCAATCAAATGTTCAATGAGAAAAATATTTTCCAAAAACAAAAATGGATCCGGTGTAACCGATTATAAATGTTCAAATAGACAAAAATACAGAAAACATGGAAAACTTTTACATATATGTCATGCATTGATGGTTATAAGCTTAAAATTATTTTCCGTTTTCAAAAATTTTTGTTTAAATTTAAATTTTGCTTTTTTCATTTCATATTCATAATTCATATTTTATTTCGCAAAAAGTTTTCAAAATTTGATCAAAAAATGATAGGGTAACTCTTTCGTTATTTAATGATGAAAACAAAAATATTGTTTTGTTTTTTGGATTTTATCAACGAAAAAAAAGCAACAACAACAGGAAAACGTTAGTCAAATGCCGGATTCCGTGAAGGATTTCAATCAACCATTTCAATTCTCAAAGTTAATTTTTTTCCTGATTTTTTTTTTTGAAAAAATTTTCAGGTAATTTGTAAAAAAAATCAAATTCATTTGTAAAAATATTAGATAATCAAAGTAGATGCGCAAAATTTCGGTTATCGAAAAAAGAAACAAGAAACTTTCCTGGGAACAAAATGTAACGAATTTATTGCTACATAGTTTTTGGTTACTATTTCTGGACAACAGATTCATCATGCATGGTTGCCAACGACAAAATATAAGAAACAAAAACCGGATACTAGCCAATTGATCCGATTGGTCAACAACATTTAATATTTCATATGATTGTCATTGATAATATGATGGAAATTTTTTTGTTTTAATTCCAGTATAAAAACTCAACTACATTTTGATCGATATAACATTCAAATAAATTACCTGCTCCGTTCATGATCATTTGAAATCCATAGTTTCTGAACTTTGATTGTGTTTGTGAAATTCAAAGAAAAAAAATGAAATTTCAACTGGTATGATTTGTGCGTTTGTTTCTATTCAAATATCATAATGTTTACTTTTTTTAGATTGTTCTAAGTGTTTCTCTATTCGCTTGTGCTGTTATGGCTCAGCAGCTACAAGAATCGGAAATGGATCTAGCTGTGGCTGAAACAGCGGGCGCTGGTGCCGTTGCTGGTGGTGTAGCTGGAGCTGGAGCTAAAGGTGCCAAAGCTGGTGCTGCTGGAGTCAAAGCAGGTGCTAAAGGTGGTGTTGCTGCCGGTGCCAAAGGTGGTAAAAAAGGAGCATTCGCTGCTGGTGCTGCCGGTGGAGCTGCAGGTGTGAAAAAAGGTGGTAAAGCTGGTGCCGCTGGTGCTGCTTTTGCCAAAGGTGCTAAATTCGGTAAAGCTGGCAAATTCGGTAAAGTTGGTGGTGCTGGTTTCAATAAGAAATTCGGAACGATCAAAAC